TTAAATCTGGAACGAAACAGTAAAAGTTGATGTGCTGTAATTTTAAACTTTTTAATATAACTGTTGTGTGTTTGTGAAACATTGTGATTAGAGCAATATTTGGTCTACTCCGGTGCAATAATCCTAAGGCCAAGCTGCTTCTAAGAACAGCAGTACAATACTTTGCTATGTACCAACCCAGTACTATCAAGATCTCCTCGATCTATAAGACCTTTTGGTTAAGGCAAAAATTCCCTCGATCTCAGAACCTTTTGGTTCAAAACCTTTCGGTTTCAGGGAAAGTTCATTCGAGCACAGTTTCTACAGCAGCAGCACAACAGCTCAATATATTTCGTGTGTATAAGAGCTCTCACGTTCGTGTCTCCAAGAGCCGCCCCAAGGGGTGCTATTTATAGGACTCTAAGGCCAGCTCAAGAGTCACCTACAATCAATGTGACTGTTACAAATTATAATGACAATTATGATTGTAACATTAATTTATTTAAATACTATTGTAACTGCTGCATGTAGGAATGTCTGAAGGTGAGGCAACCAATAGACGCGTTACTTCACAACGTGAGGGTCGCGACTCGGCAAATCAGACGAACATCATCAATAGGACGAACCTTGTCAAACTGGCGAACGTCAATAGGACGAACCTCGTCGAACGGGCGAACCTCATCGAACGGGTGAACCTCGTTAAACGGGAGAACATTAATAGGAAGAACCTTGTTGAACGGGCGAACCTCATCAACCAATTAACGAACCTTGTCAAATGGGCGAGCCTCGTCGAACAAGTGAACCTCTTCAACCAATTGATGAACCTCGTCAAACGGGCGAACCTCGTCGAACAAGTGAACCTCGTAAACCAATTAACAAACCTTGTCAAACGGCCGAACCTTATCAACCAATTGACGAACCTTGTCAAACAGGTGAACCTCCTCAACTAATTGACGAACCTCGTCAAATAGAGGAGCGTCGTCTGATCTCGAGAATGCTAGGGTCACATCCTCGTGCGAATGTGTAGCTCGTTCATATGCTGTGAAGCAGCCTGCGAGACGACCTTCGTGGCAGCCAATGTGGTACCACCTATCCCCGATGCCTCTGTACGAAGTGCGAAGTATGCCTAACAAAGCTTCACTTAGCGCCTCAGCCCGATTAGCCCTGATCCCCGACCCATTGGCCCATGACCCACGACCCATGACCCACTAAAACTTATAAGGGATTTATTAAAACAAAACACTTCCTGGTTTGTTATTGGCAAGCCTCGAACAGAGGACCTTTTAAAACACTAAAACTTTAACTTTTTACTAGGCTACTAAGCGTTTATGAAAAAAACTAGTAGTTAATATATATATATATATATATATATATACTTTGAAAACTCATTTTGGAAAGCGGTTTTGACCAAAAAATCCAACAGAATTCACCTTTTTAAAAACATTTATATTTTTTAGCGAGCCTTTCAAATTGACCCAATATTTCCTTATATTTAGAATATAAATCATCATATGTAGGGTATACCTCACTATCAGAGCTCTCGTGTTCGGAGTCATCCGTATTGCTATCTTTAGCCATAAGACAACAACATGCTCTTTTTTCATCCTCTCTTGAGCTACTCTCCGACTAGTCCCATGTAGTCGCTTTGAAACATTTGCCCTTTCCTTTATAATCTTTTTTGTTTAGCAAGTAATTCATCCTTAACTGATCGTATTTCTTGCATCGAAAATGAGCTGGTTCAGTATCAGAATCATTAAAATTATATTTATTTACCTTATTTATGTAGTGACCCGGTTTGTCTTAAAGGAATTTCCGACCATCTTTAATTTAAGGAAGAATTCAAAACTTTTAACAAGTTGATCTATATTGTTATTTTTCTCACTTTCAGAACTCGAGCTTACACAAATGTTTGCCTTGTCTTTGATTTTTTTCTTTTCACTTTCAAAGCTAATGACTTCTTCTTTAGTTATTTTCTGAATTATTTACTCTTTCTTTCAAACACACTTTAAATGTAAGAAGATTAAGTACAAGATTCTTAAGAATTAGTTCAGAAAAGTTTTTCAATTCTTTGATGCCATTACTTTTTGTTCCTAATCCCTGGAAAGAAAATAAAGAAATTTTCTCACAAGCTTTTTGTTATCATATTTCTATCTTGAAGCCTTTGATTTAATCTTAATGTCCATGGGTCGATTGAATATGTCCTGAATACTCTCTGGAACCTTCATCTTAAAATCTTCATACTCACACATAGGCATTGTAAGTTTCATCTCCTTTACCTGTGAATTTTCTTCATGTGTAACTTTAAAAGTTCTTCAAGTTTCTTGTGTAGTAGAACATGTAGATGCATGATTAAATTCTTTAGCAGTCAAAGAATAATAAAGAGTATTCATTGCTTTTATATTCAAAGAGTAAAAGCTTTTTGCCACTGGGGGTCCACTTATCTCTAAGTGTGACTACTATGGTCTAACTAATAGTGAGTTCAGTATGGCCAGTCAATGATATTCCAAACTTCAAAATCAGTGGATAACAAAAAGACTTTCATACACGCTTTCTAATAGGTATAGTTTGACCCATCAAAAAGCGGTGTTCTATTGTCAACATGTCCCTTTGAGAAAGCCGTTGTAGCAGTCAAACTAAACATCTCTACACTAGATTGTGAATCTTAAGATGGGTTAATAGGATCGCTACCGTTTTTCATCAAAATTCAAAATAAGAAGCAAAAATATCAAATAAAAGTGATATATAAAATAGCAACCACCAAAAGCAACTAACCAAGAGCACACAATATTTAATAGTGATTTGGATAAACAATCCTATATTCGTACTTCCTTCTCGCGAAGGGATTTTCTCACCATGACAATAGTTTAACTAAGTCATAAACCCGATTTAGTAGGCTTAGAAGACTGCACACTGGTATCTAACTAGAATCAATGATCTAATCTAACTTCCACCATGAGTAACCCCTATCCTTATCTAGTCCAAACCCTCAATTCAACTGGCTTGAGTACACCGAAAAGATGTTCAAAGTAAAACCAAACACAAAATAATTAACGTCAGAATAAAAAAATAATCTTACAACCCTTTCGATAAAATAAACCTTTCCTCTGAGAATATAAGTGAATTTTAATGAAGAATGACAAAGAAGATTAGTCTAAGGACAACTCTCCTTCTTCAAACAATCTAAAGATATTGTGCACGTTGAGTAAGAGTTTGACGAGGCTCCGGGGCATCGATGGTTCAAAAGCCCATCGATGATATTCATGTCTCTGGACTTTTGCACAATCGATAAATCATAGTACCATCAATGGTTATCATTCACCATCGATGATAAATGAACTACCACAAATGGTAATGGTGCTGAAATCAGCTTTTGAGCTAATTTTCATGTCATTTCACCTCATACATGTCTCATATTTGTATTTACCACTACTACAATATTTTAAACCAATGTTAGTAAAAAAATGAAAGTTTATTATTACTCAACCAAGGGATATTATATGGAAACATCCCAACAAATACCCCTTGAGAGTTCGTTATAATATGAGAAGAAAACAGTCAAAAGATTAGGAAAATGAAGATGAAAAAAAAGGAGAGAGTACTCTTGTGAGGATTTAACAGAGGAAGGTTAATTATTCTTGTGAGGATTTACAAGAGGTCGGCGTGATTACTTTTGTGAGGATTTACAAGAGGAAGATTATTATTCTTGTGAGGATTTACACGAAGCCAGAGTGATTATTCTCGTGAGATGATAACAAGAGAGAAGTGTTTATGTATATTCTTTTTTCCAATAATAAATAAACCCCCTTCTCCATTGGGCATAGGCATATTGCCAAATCACGAAAATCTTTTTGTCCTGTATGAGATTTGTGTTTGTCTTATTTATTTTGCGATAAAGTTAAGGTTTCCACGAAACCCTAAAAGTTAAAGTCTTTGTTTGGGATGTAAAATTGACTAGATTCCGAACAGATTATAATGCCATCATGTCTAATGTTCTCTAGAGCCCTATAGATGTAGACATCTTGCATTAATTCTCACTTCTAGTGTAAGCTTTGAAGTAGAAATTTGCTATGAATCACAGATCGGATCCCCTTCACTATTAAAGTAATGGAGAAAACACTATTTTATTAGAAATATTAATTTGTTTAGTAGGAGGTTGTGATTTGTCTTCAATTGTAAATTAGGAACGAGTGTGATTCATAGAGCATGTTGAGTGTTAGATTTAGAATGAATCATAACCATCCACTAAACAAATCAACAATTGAGATAAAAGTAGTGGTCTTTCCATTACTATTTGATGATAGTAGCGAGAATCTAAATCCAAAATTCTTCTATGTTTTTGTTTATAGAGAAATCTTAAAAATTTGTTGCGGGAACCATTAACACCCTTTTATTTTGAAAATCCAATGAAGGATATTTGTTTGTTATATGAACAATTATAATTTTGAGACCTATAGGAGAAAGAGATATTATTGATCCAGATTACAATAGCATGTAAGATTTCTCTATAATCAACGACATAGAGAATTCAAAGCAGAAAATATTTGCGAAACCACATGTTCTTTCATTGTGTCTCATTTACTATCTTGTATAGAAAGAACATGCGCTCCATCTATGAGAACTTCTTACCTTACAAATAAGCCCCTTCTTTGTTTAAATTAAACACGTCCTCTGTGTGCTGAACATGTTCAAGTAGTATAAGTTGTTTGTTATCTCATATAATAAGTGCTTTAAACCTATCATTGTTTTGAATTTACTAGACCTCTATTTTTATTTTTGGAGATGTCACCTGAGTGAAATTCATTGACTTTTTTCATCCCTGGAGAAAAATATATTCGTTGTATGCACAGGGATGCTTCGTGCTACGAGCAGGTACAAACATTGGTAAAGAAACAATTAATTTTAATTGACCAAAAAAAATTGTTTTTAGACAAATAGACCCTCTGAGGGCAAATAATCGAAGAAAATTCACTCAGAGGATCTATCTGGAAAATAAAATAAAACTAGAGGAGTGGTAAGTTTAAAACATAGATACTACAGGGGGCTGTCCACAATTAACCTTGTAAGGTATTAACTTATAACTTCAGAATCACATGCCTCTCCTCACATTATGATCTTCAAAAACAATGATAAAAACTAGTGGGTCATGACCCCGACATTACTTCAATATCTCTTATTAATTAAGTTACCTAATTTCCCTCAAATGGATTGACTTCTTTCACATTAATAACCAAACTAGCCAATCTACATAATGTAACATGATTGACTATAGTAGGGATCATAACTTTGATAAGGGCAGGGTGAATATATGTATTGTGGATAGCTCCCTTGGCTAGCCAAAACCTGCACACTCTTGCCTTTACCATCTTTCTCTTCTTTCTTTTCCTTTTTCTCATCATACGCAACAACCCTGACGAGCTCTGCAAACCCCATTTGTTTCCTCAGCATCACTGTTAGCTCAACCGAATCTACTCCATTGCCAACGACAATGATCTTGTCATCTTCAAGTTCTGCAGATATAACACCTGATACATTATGATACAAATGGGTTACCTACATTTGGGCATCATATATGTCGCATATTCCCATTAGAGTTTAATGGACATCATAGATCATATGAGAAAATTCTTTCATATACATTAATGTGGTTGTACATCATAGATCATATGAGAAAATTCTTTCATATACATTAATGTGGTTGAATCTAAGCCAAGCATGGTTATGAAGAATTTTCTTCCCTCTTTTTTTCACTTGGAAGTCAAACACATCAATTTATACGAGAGAATCCTCTTATATGACAAGGATATCCATTATTCTCATTTTGTAACTGTACCTATTTAGGATTACTTGCAGGCGTGCAGATACCTCTCCCTCAATGGGGGGTATAGGCGACCTAAATTATTTTACGCCCTTTGAAGTTGAGATGCATCAGCTAGAATAATGTGATGAAAATTACATTTTTGGCTGCAATTTATGGCGCAGTTTGGTAATTCTTCTGTTAATTGGAGGGCAAAAAGGTAATTACTACACATGATTACCCCAACTGACATGTCAAGTTAACGGGAAAAGACTGTCGTCTGCAATTTGTAGAATGTAAATTATAATAGGATAGTTTAGAGGGTATGAACAGCTACAACGTTAGTATAAGAAGTGTATCCGCATTTAGTAGAATTTATATAGAAAGAGTTAAACGGGATATCGTTGCATTACCTGGTAATTTCACAGCTATAGTGAGCGCTTTCGTTCGCTTCTTTGCATTATTCATCGTGACTCGAATCACAACCTTTTGCTGCATGAACAAAATTGGCAAATAGAGTGACGGAGATCATAAGTTTATAACGTTATCATAAAGATTATGACTTAAAATATAAAATGGGGGGCAAAAAATTATGACACCTTTCCCATTAATTTGAGTTGAGGATCTTTGGCCTTTTGTCTATTTTTGCGTTGAAGTGGGATCTTTGGCTTTTGTTACTCTTTGTATTTAAAGATGCAGAGGAAAGCTTGAGTGCTTGGACTAGCTAAGAGAGCAAGTAATTGTTTGGTTTTTGTAGGTCTTCTTTCGGTGAAGTAAATGGTGATGTCCAAATGTGACACTCTCAAATCTCAATATTTAGTCTTTAGCTTAACAGTGTTAACTTCCTCCAAGCATTATTTTTCAAAAGGTTGGCATGTTTAGACAAAGTTAGATGACGTATATAAGAGTTTGATAGTTGCAGAAATTCCTAGGTGGCGGTCTCATTCAGACTTGCAATAACTTTGTTGAGGTGACTAATATTCTTTATAATCATTTTTCATGCTAGAGTCTGACTGTAGCAATGATTTTGATTGTATCAATCATTTTCATTATTTGCTTCATTTCATGAGTAGGTTAAGGAGCCGTGCAGCAAAATAGATACTGATAAATGATAATGAAATCAGGATTTTAATACGTCTGCAGGGGCATTTCTCCATTTTCAAACAGTTAGGAGAGGCTTCTCAACAAACCTTTGATATCTTACAAGTTTTGATGTTGAGACTTGAGATAGCTATATTTTTCGAGTGAGAGATTGGGGCAAAAAAAAAAAAAAAAAGTTTTCGATATGACACACATGTCACTGACTTTCTTAGAGAATATTATGAAGTTAATGGGAAATAATGAAAATTACTTGTAATGGTTACAGAGAGTTCAAAGTATTTTTTTTTCTCTTTGGCTTATTTGCCGATAGGCCTATGTTTGGTGGTAAAATTGAAAGAAGAAAATAGAGAATTGAATTTGTATTATTCTCTCTCACAGACTTAGAAAAAGAATGATTTACAATTCTCTCAATACAATCCCTCTCTAACAAACTTAGAAAAAGAAATTACAATCTTCTTGTATCGGATTCCCGATTTACAAAAGAGAGAAGGGTCAACTGAGATCCTTTCCTTTGTTTAACCTGGGTTCTTCACGGTAGCGATGAGATGCCTCCCTCGAAACTCACGTTGAGTTTGCTTCTCGTTGACGATCTGAATACCTCGCTGGATTGAAGTAAATAAAACTTGTGTGGCAAGTTCTAAGGATAACTCTTAACGAGTTTTAAAAACTCAGAACGAGTTTGAACTTTGTAACAGAGTTGATTTGAACCGAAAATCGGTTTTAATGCCAAGAAGAAAACCCCCAAAGGTTTTCTGTTGCTGAAGAAAGCTCCAAGATCTCCAAAAGATGATCTCCATATCCAAAGAGAAGATCCGAATGCCCAAAGCCAAAAGATCAATCACGAACTCAGTTGAGTTTACTCATATTTATAGGAGGATTAAGGAGTGTAACTGCCCGCTTAGTCTGCTCCTAAGTGGGACGGAAATCCCTCCAATCGTGGGGGAAAACGGTTTCTGGAACCGTTCAACTCATGTTTGAATGAGTCAAACACCGAAAATGGCATTCTGGGCCAGAACTCTGCGTTTTAGACCCGAAACATAGAGTTGGGCATGTGCTTGAGGCTTAAAACGTCGTGTTCGCACAGTATTGTGAATCTGGAACGTAGAAATGAACTCTGCATTTAAAGAGATTGTTGACTTCTAATCTCTTTCATCAGGGCATTTGCAGAGATCGTCATTTTGTAATCTCTACCTTAGCTCCTTAAAATAAGGGAGTCATCAGATTGTAACTCCTACAGTTGTCTGTGAAGACTGTTGAATCAGAGTTTCCATCAATTGTCGTGAAGGTCGTTGAATTGTAACTTTCTTGATCTACATAAAAATCTTCTAATTGTAGCCTTTGTTTGTTGACCTGAAAGTCATTTGTGTTGGCCTTCTTGTTTTGATGATGTTTAACAAACAATTTACTTCTAATGTTGTTTGTCTAGTGTTTGTGTTTTCGTATTTATTCTAGGCAAACAACGAGTTGGAGGATGGATGGTATTACGCATTCACGATCATATCCAATAGAGGTTGGTGAACTTATGGAGTGAAGCCTTACAATTCATGTTGAAGATCCAAGTTCAAGCTTCTTCTGCATAGTGTACCAAGTCAAGCTCATTGAAGATCAAGATTGATTGAGTAACATTTAGTTTAAGTGTTATATTATGTGTGTTAAGTACGTTAAGCTCAATATCATATACACACACATTTTATTGGTTTCCTTGTATATATACGTAGTCATATATATATATACAACACAAGTTTTGGTTTTCATGTTTATAAATATGAAATTACATATTTCATATTTATTATTGTGATTTGGTTTAACTACTTAGATATGAAACAAATATATTTTCATATACATACTCATATGTTTCATTTTCTATTGTATTTGTGAAAATATTATTTTCTTAGTTTATAGACTTAACAATAATCATATACATCTTTTATTAAGTCTACATATTATTTTCTTAGTTTATAGACTTAACAATAATCATATACATCTTTTATTAAGTCTACAAAATCATTTCGTAATGTTTCAAAACATGGTTAAACGAAAATGTCAAAACTCATGTGTTCACATTTTCATGTTTTAAACTATTTTACAAAATGATGATATTTTATATTTGGGAAGTCCTTTTTAAAAACTAGTCTTTGTAGCATGTTTATTATCATGCCTACAATCATTCTCTAAAGTTTTATATTTTTTATAATTTATTTGATATTTTTAAACAGGGTTTAAAAATCAGAAAATCAACTTTCAAACCTGTTTTCTCATATGTCAGTTTACGGTCGACCGCCACGGTCGACCGCGCCTGAGTTTTTACCTACGGAGTTAAACAGAAACTTTCACGGTCGATCGCCACGGTCGACCGTCAGCTCGAAATTTCCCACGGTCGATCGCCACGGTTGACCGCCAAAATCTCTGAAAAATTCTCAGCTTCGAAAATGGCTCGCGGTCGACCGTGAGATTTTCACGGTCGACTGCCATATACTCCAACGACTATTTTGTACAGAATCTGATTTTGGATTCTATGGGCTTTTTGGTCTTTTTGTTTGGGGTTTTTGGCTGAGGTTTTGGGAGGCTATAAATACCCCATTGATCTCAGTTCTCAAACTAACCAAGAAGTTTTAAAACAAAAGTTTAATAAGGGTTTAAGCTTGGTTAGTTTGTTTTATGTTTGAGGTTTTACAAAGAGGAGTCTACATCAGCTGTTGAAGAGTTTATCTTCAATATTTTATCATCCTCTCTTTGTGTTTATAGAGAAGTTTCCTTAACTCTATTTCCTAGCATTTTTACTATTGTATTTCATATCAATCTTATTGCTAGTTCTTCTTGAGTTAAGTTTTATTTATACTCATTGTTATACACACCCACTTGAGCTTGTCGTATTTTCATACATAGTATATTTGGGTTGGTAAGAGTTGTAATAATTGAGTGTGAGCTTTAATTGAGTTCTCGCATTGTATTAGAGAACAAATCATTTGTTGTCATTGTGAGATTGTAGAGTTTTCGGTTAGCTAGAAAACTGAGTGTGAGGAGTGAACGTTGATCGGTGAGTGTTGAAAACCAACATTGTGACTGTTTGTGAACGTTTATCGGTGAGCGTTGAAAACCGACATTATGAGGTATAAACGTTATTCGGGTGAGTGTAGAAAACCCGGTTATGATAGTGGATTTCTCCCCGGGAGTGGGGAGCGGAGACGTAGGACGAAAGGTCCGAACTTCGTGATCATTTAAGTGTGTTTGAGTTTGTTATTGGCGCATTTTCTTATGTATTTATCTTATATCGCCAATTGTGCATTGCTCATTTATTTCATCCATTATCTTGTTTATGCTTATTTCACCATTGTGTTAGTTTATATATCGTTGTATATATTTTTATCATATAGGATATATCTCATTGTTCATATTGCTTATCCTAGCTCATATATCTTGTTGTATTTTATACTTGCTAGGATAACTTGTTAATTAATTTTAATTAGCATAAAACCCTAATCACCCCTCCTCTAGGGTCCAACAATTGGTATCAGAGCTTGGTGCTCTTTGATTTAAGGTCTAATCACCTTGAGTTAAAGATCCAAGTTATCTTTTTATGCTAATCTTGTTTTAATTGCATTTGTATCTTACTTGCATATTTTTACAAATTATGGATATGAATGATGCATCTTGTTTAGGCTATGATTCTAGTATTGCTCCTAAATTCAATGTTTTCCCTTATGCTCAATGGTGTTTTAGATTTAAAATATTTGTTCAATCTAAAAATATCAATTTATGGGAAGTCATCGATTGGGCTTATATTGTGCCCATATTGGAGAAATCCAAGTGGAATAAAAATAATAAAAGATTATTTATTTTGAACAAGCTCTTGTTGGAATTCTTACATAATGCATTTGATTCATCTTGGTCTAACAAGTTTTTTCATTTTGATAGTGCTTACACCTTATGGAAATTTATTGAAGCACATCAAGGGGACTTGGAGGTGATCCGATAAGCTTTGGAGGATCCCGCTTTAAGTTCATATGGAGCAACATACACACAGCCACTAGGCGATAGCCCTAGTGAGGTTTGCGAGTTCGAACCTGATAATGATTTATCTAGTGATGAACTTACTTATGCTAGTTATAAATTATTGCATGCCTACAAGAAATTACAAAATGATTTTATTGACTTACAAAGCAAGCATGTAATTTTAAAATTGGATCATGATTCTTTAATTTCAAACTTTGGTAAGTTAACTCATGAAAGAGATAATGCCAACTTAGAAGTTGAGAACATAAAAAATGACACTGCTTCTTTTATAAATGACTATTTATGTTCTACTTCTAATAAAAATGCATATATGCCTAATGATGAGTAGAATGATGATAAAAACCGTATTTCTTCTTTAGATTCAACTCTTAATACATGCATTAATAATCATAAGAAGCTTATGAATATGTGTGCCAAGTCTAAGTCATCATCCACTCATTATGCACACATATATAGCAAAGTTTACAAGTGCTCCATTTGTGGTCGTAAAGGCCATTTAGCTAAATTTTACTATGATGCACACAAACATAAGAATATTAATCCTTCTTGTGC